TTCAGGGCGGGGCGGGGTGGGGGGTTTGTCGGGGGGGTTAGGGGGGTAGGAACCGTCAATTTTACGAACGGGGCACCGGAGCGCCCCCGGGTCATCCCATGACATTGGGAACCAATGTCATGGGAACCTTCCCCTTCTTACAACACCAAGACTCGAGTCACACAAGTCTTAAGAACAACACTCAAATAAGATTGAGTTTACAACACAAGAATTAAAGCTCACAGAATTGAGCAAAGTAGTGTTGAAGGATTAAAGCTATATGGATGACAATATCTTTAGCACTCAATGAAAATATTTCTAACTCTCAAAAATAATATTTAGATGAGGAAGATGAAGCAAGGGATGAATATAGCTCAAAGAATACACGGAGTGCAAGAGAGTAGTTTTAGAATGAATGAGAAGGAGGATTAAATAGGCTCAGAGAAATAAATTCGTTGGAGCAGGCTGAGAATATGCACCAGATAAAATTAATCGATTAACGTACAAAGTTAAATCGATTACGATACGAAAAGGCCTGAAGAGAGGAATGGAACTAATCGATTAAATGAGTTCCAAAAATCGATTAGTCGGCTCTGTCCGAACTAATCGATTAAACAAAGAAAAATAATCGATTATTGGTCAAAACAGGGACTGGAAGCCTTTGGCTTCATACTGGTTGTTTGAGACAACTGGAATCAAGGCACGCTCCTCAGAAAAATATTATCTCATATTCAATGAATTTGAATAGGGGAGAGATAGTGAGTCCAAAAATTATTTTGTGTGTCAAACGATGTACACGAAAAATATTTAAAGTATATCTTTCTTACCACAAAAAAATTTTGTAACCTTAAAAAAATATTTTTAAGAAATTTTGACACACTATTCTGACTCAGTAAAATATTTTTAGACAGAGAAAATAATTTTTCAACTGACTCAGAAAATAATAATTTTTATCCCTCAAAAATTAATTTGTCTATGCAAAAATTATTGTCATCCTTACAAAGATTCCTAGACTCAAATAAAAAAGTCTTCAGAGTGTTCACTTCACTTCAAAAAACTGCGTAGGGGTAGGCATTGATTTTATCATCGTAAATATCTTGATACGCCTCTATGGTTTTCTCGATACGAAAAATAAATTTTCGATCAGCTTGAATTTAATCATCTTGTTTGTCATTTATCAAAACAAAAATACTCCAGAATAAAAAATAAAGGGGTTTGAACTCATGTCCAACAGGCCGAACTCAGCGAGATGATCGAAAAGCTGACGATACTCAGGAAGACTCATCGTACCCATCTCCAGGTGTAGAAACTCTTCTCGTTTCTCTTCCACAAACGACTCGGGAATGTACTCCTCTCTGAACACTTGATCAAAGTACGCCCACGTCACTTTCGCTTGATGATTCGCATTTCGAGTAGTGTGCTTCCACCACTCGTATGCATTACTCTGTAAAAGCATGACCGCAAAATCGGCCCACTCGCTAGTTGGAACCTTCAAATTCTCGAATACCCGTTGTATGCGCTCTATCCATCTAAACGCAATCAATGGGTCGGCGATGTTCTTGCCTAGGAATTCTTCAGCGCTGTTTTTATTCAATCTTTCGAGCGTCATCCTCGGTTCCGGTTGTCGAACATGCGCTAAGGCATTCTGATTCATGATCAGAACTTGTTGTAGGAGCTGCATCATCATTACAGGGTCGATCTGTGGGACCCCAACAGGCCCACCATTCGGCGCCTCTTGGTGTGGGACGCCCTGGTTCATGTTCATATTCTGGTGGTCATTCTGTTGCACGCTCTCATCCTCAGAGTGATGATCGTCGTCGTAATTAACGATAGGGTCCATTGTGCAGTTTTACAATTTAACTACTTAAGTAACAAATATCATTTGGTCAAAATACCTTTATATTCTGTTTGTTTTGCTAATTCAAGCAGTATACATCCACGTCTCTCATTACACCATTTAAAGGTAAACAATTTATTTTGAAACTTGACTATGGGAAAAACTATTTTTTTAACAATGTACTTTTCTTTGCTTTACAAGATTTATTGTTAACTTTTTTTAATAAAGAAAAACACATTTTACGTTACTTAAGTTGTCAATTTCGTCTAACACTAAAGTAAAGCCCTTATTCATCTAGGTTTGTAGCCCCTTCCGAACTTGGTTGTCATTTCAGTAATCGATGAAACAATTAAATTTTGAATAAACTATTTTATTCTATTTATGTGCATACAATTTTCTTCCCTTTTTAGAACATCTTTTTAAAAAAAAAAAAAGAATTGACACACCAATTGTTCTAATGTAAGGTAAGTAATTACATACTTTGGAGTTTGGAATCTTATTGCCCAAAATGCTATATTATTTTTTTCCTTTTTAACAAGGCAGTTTAATTAACACAAAAATCAACTAACGATCAACTCAACAATTCTCACATAAGCGCATAAAAAGGATTTAGAGTTACCTCCTAGAGTAGTGACGTCGTGAAGCTGTGGATGCCCATTTTTAGACATATTCATTCTTTTTTTAAAGTAATTTGTTTTTAAATAAATTCACTTTTTTTTCTTTCCGAGAATCGTTTTTAAAACCTAGCTCTGATACCAAAATGTAACATCCCAACCCGCATAACCCGAACCGACGAGTTAGTGAGTTGGGTTGTCACCAATTTGGTATTCACATGCATAATATTTTAAAAACATTTGGAAATAAAACAAACATTCATATTTATTGAAAACAATTTATCGTTTGATCGGAGTAAATAACTAAAATGTTGTGAAAGCCTTTAAAAAACAACATTCAACATTCTGGTAATTTAAATAAACAAATCCAACAAACTTATTTAATTTAAATAAAACAGCTTCGGTCATCCACCAGTGTCACGCTTCACTGTCCTCTAGGCTGCTCCTTATCAAATCCTTGATCCCTACCTGTAAAAATAGGGAGAGTGGAAGTATTTAACGCTAAAACTAACTCATAGACTAGTACCCATTAATATATAATCAAACAATATCAGAAAAATTAGCAAATAATGTTATCCAACTGTCCCACTATTTACCCTTAGCTTATATTTCAACTTAGTTCTTATGCATACTTACTCCATCTACCTGCTAGATATAATTCAATTCATACTTACGGGAGTAATGGAATCTAGGCTCTCGCCCAAACCCACACTCATAACTCCAAAGTTCTCACAATGGAGGGGGTTGAGGCTCCCGTTGGCTCTCGCCAGGGGTCAATGGCCATCATGCGCACGTTTTTAACCCTCGAGACCACCGGATGAACGACGTCACCTTCATGACCTTAATTTCTAATCTCAACCTTATTTGAAATTTCCAATGTCTACTTAACCTCAAATCTACCTAATATTATGAAGGGACTCATGTAATTATCATCAATTATTAGTTAATAGATTTGAATAGATTTAGGTTATCATCTACTCCTTAGAGTATCTCCAACCCACCATTCAAATGCTATAATATAAAAGATATAGCTTCTACTATTCATAAAATGCATCTCCAATTGAAGATCTATAAAATAGACTCCATGCTATATTTGATTGAGCATCATCTATATATAAATGATACTGTAGCATTATCTAAAAAGACTGGGCATGCTTTAGCCATAGATAAACCTAGGGATTGAAACCAAATAATAAAAAATAATTAATACGTATAGATTTAGCTTTTATGGTTGGAGCAAATACTTAAATTTAGATTGTCAAATTACTATAGATTGGCTACTTTAGCTTTAAGCTCACATCTCCCGTTGGAGATGCTCTTATAGGTTATCATCTACTCCTTAAAGCCAAATTGTAATGGAAGGCCGATTTGCAAATAGTTTGGAAGTTTGGGGCTAATCTATAAATTCCAAAAAAAACTCCCCAAACGACCCCTCAGTCTGCCTTCTTCTCCGATGCACCGATCTGGCGAAGTAGCTGCAAAAGTCCAGCGACTAACGTTACAGCGGCCACCTTCCTCCGCGGTCATCCGACCTGCAACGATTTCTGGCGAGACACATCCGCCGCATCAATCCCAGCAGCGGCTAAACAAATGGAAGTCGAGAGGAGGACAAAGTGTAGTGGCAGCGACGACCCACCGGCGGCAGCAACTCCTCCAACATGGCAGCAGCCTCCCCGACGGTGGAAGACACGACGACGTCTCAACTACCCGGCAGCAATAGCGGCTTTTGAACCTAGAGCAAAAGAACGGAGCAGTGTTCGGACAGATGCAAGGAAGAAACAGAAAAACCCTGTTACCAATTCTAAACCGGATTCTAATTCCAATTCAATTCAACATAATCATTCACCCAATTTCAACAATCATATTTACAAATTCAACTTCAATTGAATGAAGATATATTAATGAATCCTAATCTATGAATTAATTTTAACGGGAGATAAATCACCCACCTCGATTGGCGAAGATTTACAAATTAAATGGTAAAGGATTTTTCTCCGGCGAAGCTCCGACGTAGTTCCGGCGACCTCTCATTGGCTTGATCGGCAAAGAGAAATAAGGAGGAAGATGATGACGATGTTCGACCGCATGTTTTGTTTTTAAAGAGGTGGATTAGGCTTGTGTTTTTTTTTTACATTTAGGGATAGGAATAAGCGTAGGAATTAACTTTAGTAATCATGGTATTAATATTTAATATTATAAAATTTTTATATTTATTTATTGAACTATAATGTCTATTTTCTTCATCACGCTTTATATGTATATCTAAATTTAATAAAGTCTATATATTGTTGGTTACCATTTTATAAGATCTACCCAAAAACCTAACTTTTAATTAAAATGGTTAACTTTAGAAATAATTCATATTTTGGAGTCAATGAATAGTATGTTTATTCATTATTAAAATAACGTCCAACTACTAAGCCAGTTTTTAGGGCGTTACACAGCCACCAAAAAAAATGTCCCATGACAACAACACCCTGAGGAAAAACACATGAAAAGACTAATGGTTCAGATGTCTGAATGGTTCAGCACTTAATGGTTCAGACTGTTTGTTTCAGCCTCTTAATGGTTCAGATGACTGAATAGTTAAGACATTTGCCTCTGAATGGTTAAGTATTATACAGAGTCTGAATGGTTAAGACCTCTTCTCTGAATTGATCAGACATTTGCCTCTGAATAGTTAAGCAATATACTAGCTTTTAACGGTTCAGACCTCTTACTGGTTCAGCACTTAATGGTTCAGACCTCTTACTGGTTCAGCACTTACCTATTCAGAAGTTTCCAAACAGCCCCTAAGTGTCACCGGCCCTCTGTTTTTCGCTCATTACTTTAGACAATGAGCTCCGTAGTCATCTTCACCCGGTATGCCTCCATATTACGGGAATGCACTTCAGAAATGTCATGGTCCATCATCTAGTACTCCGCAAACTTCAACATGAACATTCCACAATTGCACCTGTAAATTTACCACATACCCGTCATCTTGTTGGGGACACCCATCAATGACATCGATAGAGAACTTCCATTTTTTCCATCAGCCCATCGGAGTGCTCGTCGTACACACTCAATAAATCCAGCAGTATTGTCAGCAACTCTGTGATACATTGCACATATTCATTCAATGCCGTGCAAACTTTTCCCTTCCTTCCTTTCGAATTGTATACCCGTATAGTCCTGCCTTGAACTTCTAGGACTAGCAATACCCAGTGGTCACCAGTGTTCAGGGGCATATACACAAAGTCACACTCAGACCATGGTCTAGAATATTCCTGCACCAATCCCTTCACCTCACTCGTTAGATTCAGATTATTGATGCTTCTTAGCCTTGCCAACATTCATTATCTCTTGATGTCTATACAGCCCTTGCAAGAAATACGGGGTTGTTGTTGTGTACGTCTGCAATAGGTTATACTGCCTGCCCTTCACTTCCAAGAAATACATTGCTATTTCAACATGCTGTATATCAATACAGTTCGCACATAAGTCAGTAGTCAAAAACAAAAAAAAACAAAGAACCACATCTCTTATCTTTCACATTCATTTAACTCATATATTTCACACTGCCAATAGAGTCATCCCAACACTAATCTCACAATGCCCTCTCCAAAAAAACAACCCCACTGCCTTTATATACCAAACTATATGCCCACAAACCCTGGCGTTCAGTGATAAAATAGTCTACATCCATTAAACTGCAACTATCCCATCAAATAACTCACCGTCCTATATACAAAGCTAGAATCCTTCACCTCACTTAAATCAAATAACCCACACTATCCCTAATAAAACCATTCTCACTGCCACATTACTAATAAGAATATAAAACAGAAACATACCTTAGTAATGCGCATCAAAATCACCCAGCCACATCATTTCACAAACACTCTAATATATCCGAAATTTAATAACATGCCAGAGCCACAAAGTTTTTCACATACGTTCTAAAAATAAACAACAAAACTAAAACAAAACTAAAACATACTGTGCTGCGTAACTACTCTGTGTTTGTAAACAACTCATATATCCATGTCTTGTTCTCCACCGTAAAACCATCTAGGACAATGGGATTTTTTGTCATGTTCTCCAACTTGCTTGTATACCTACATGTCCTGTTCTCCCTTCCGTGCCTTTTCAACAAGCCTTCATTCAAAAATCCTCTCACCTTCTCTATTTCCTTATCTGCAAGCATCTCCTTTGGATCCTCTGAAAATGGCCCATAGCACGCACCCGTCCTATCATGGGTAAGACAATCCCTAGCACACTCCATCCATTCAAGCTTACGTCTTTTCGTGTCTTGCTCAGCCTATGAGGGAGTATATCTCTCAGGATTTTTGTGAACCCTTTTGGGGCGTTCAATCTCAACACATGCACTGTTGGAATTTGAAGCCGTAGAAACTGCCTAATCAAATAAAAAAACCACAAACGTCTCAGGGAAAAAATAGACTGTCGTACACAAACACACGGCCAGAACATTAACACGCCAAGACATTAAAGCACATTTTTAGAATAGTGAGTATTAATTTCCCCATTATAACTAAATTTAAAAAACTAACCACCACAGGGTCTTGAACACCCCTCACTATCTGCCCCCCCACTTCCCACACGGCTGCTAGTAAATATTCTGTCAAAATCTTCGTCACCCATGCTAACCCTCTCTGTGCCTTCACTGACATGCTGCCCTAGTTTCAACTTATTCAAACCTTTCGACCCTATAAGGTTACAATGTTAAATATATGTTGCGACGAACGGAAAGTGCAATTCAGGCTAAACACAGCTGAAAAACTACATCACTCAAAGTATAAATATTATTCCTTTTCCCAAATATATGTACATATATAACTAACCCCAACTTCAGCATTAACGTCTACCAGTACTTGCTCATCATTTGGCATTATACAGTCTCCATGTTTCATGTCCAACTCATCACCACCTACACTTTTACTGCATTTCCCCTCATCCGCAAACTTCAGCTCAACCCTTCACAAAAAACTGTAGGAACCTGCCATTCCCAAATAATTACAATTCAAATATCATTCTGTCAAATTTAATTTACATACTCCCTTACTCAGCCTAAAAAAACAGAAATGTAAGAAATCATCATTTTACACTTCTGGCATTGTGTAAAGAAATAAGCATCAAATCTGTTTGCCTGTCAATAAGCTCTAGGTCTTTAGTGGCAAATTTGAATTGCTACAATTAATAGTTTGCCACGAAAAGTCATGTTTAGTAACAAATTTATTTTGCTACAAGTAATACTTTGCCGCCCAAATTCATAATTAGTAGCAAAATTTTAATTGCTACAATTATTATACTATTATGGCCTTTGTTAGCTTATTTGCATATAATACGTGTATTATACACCCGTACGTGTGATACAAGTATTATACTTCCGAATATGAATTTTTGATGGGACGAACGTATAATACGCGTATTTTTAATCGTAGTTCAAGTCATCCACCAATATCTTTTGTTAATAAAATTTCACCCACACTCTACCAGTCTCTTCAACTTTATCTGGCTAAAAGTCCAACATTGCATCTGCACTAGCAAATAGTAGACAACATTTTCTCTATGTGTTTAGATTTTGAAAATGTGGTCAATTTTTTGTATTAGTTCTTAAGTTTAAATATTTGTCCATGTTTTAAAATACAAATTTGATTTTATTTGTATGATGTAAATTCAAAAAATCTAAGTTCGTAAATATATTTTTGTATTCTAAAAATAAAAAATATAGAAAAAATTTAATTTTACTCAACTTTAAACTGTTTAAAACATTATTTAGTAAGTTCATATTTAAATTATAAAGAGACTTAAATCTTCCTTTTAAATTCATGATAAACATCTAATCAATTTTGTAAAACATAAATTGTCTAATAATATAAATATTGTCATGTCTTAAATGCTTTATTCATATCTAAATGCTGGCTTCGTTTTTTAGAATGTGTTCTTACTTTGAATACAGTTTGTGGAAGTATAGAATAATAATTAGATTGAAAGATCTCATTTGAGTACACATGGAAAAAATGAATAAACAATAAATCGTAGTATTGGTTAAAATTTTAGAACTTTTTTATGATGTATTTGTATTCAATTTCAAAGTTTAAAACATGTTTCTTATTAAAAATATATGCACTCATTATAAGCTATATTTTTGAAAAATCAAACATATAATACGTGAACGTATTCATATTCGTACTCCGAACGTATAAAATGTATAATAAGACGTATTTTAAAAGTGGTCCGTATTATACACGAAGATACGAATAGACATATTATACCCGTATCCAAATAATCTAACATAGATTATGGCAAACCTCTTACTAGTAATAGTTCATAATTGTGAGAACTTAAATTCTCTACTATGTTGTTGTTGTTGTTGTTGTTGTTATTATTATTATTATTATTATTACTATTATTATTATTATTATTATTATTATTATTATAATTATAATTATTATTAGAGTGGAAATTTAATTAAAAGAGGACATAGCGTCAAAAAATGATACGCTAAACAAGAATACAAAAAGAAAAACCACTAGACGTAAGTCTAACAATATGGGATACAGAGAGGAACACCAAATCTAAAGCTAGTCTAAATTGTGCTAAAATAGAAAAGAACAAAGAAAAAATAAATATAGAGCGCTATTTGTCTGACCCTGATCATGAACACCCTTGTGGAAAAAGATCATGATCAGCATCTCCCATATATATGGACCCTATTTTTCAGCTGATATGCGAGACCTTCAGAAAAGATCTGTTCATTGTCATAATTTAGCTATGGCCACCTGCGTACTTTACGAAAAGGCAAAGGACAGCCTACAAGTTGAAGCAAATTAAAAGATAAGATCTACTCGTAATAGACTGTAGAATTGTAGAATTGTGGCACGTGTACGAATCAAAGTGGAGAACTGATTGCAAAATGCAGTCCCCATTGAAAAATTGTGACCTCTCCAACAATCACAAAAGTGGAACTTCCCTTTACTACCTACTTCTGATAGCATCTACTAACTTTATGTCCTGCAGTTTTTAAAGAGGATACCAAAATAGAGAATAGTGTATTCCCAATGTGTGTTCTAGTAGCTCCCCCATCATCAGCATAACAAATACAAGTGTTAAGACATTCAGGTAGCTCAAAAGATCAAGCTCTGAATCAGAAGATCAAATGATCATTCACATTACATTGAATAAGAAAAACCTTTAAAAATGGTGTCCCAAAATGGTCC